TCTTCTTTTTTTTTTTTTTTCCATCGATTGTTGAGGAATAAAGACTAAAAACATGCAAAAAATAGACAAATTCACTTACCTCTCAAAATTTTCTTGGCTTTCTAACTATGTGATGAGCCGTTACAAATTCATCCAAGCTAGTCGTTAACTTTCCCACGGGAACGAATCTTGTACTGTGAGTGAAATTGACAATATTCTGTTCAGAATACAGCATTATACCATACATCATTTGATAGATGAAACTTTGACTTTTTATTGGTTATAGGTAATTTATATATATATATTTTTAGAAACATAAAAGAGAACTATCAACGAATTGTGAAAGATAGAATGTGACAGGTGAGTGTGGCAGGAGGGGTCTGATTTTCTATTCGATAGCTCTGTAACGAAACAAAATCGAACGCTATAAAAATTATGGTTTGTTTCAGCAATAACGATTTTATAGAGAGTATTTTATGTTTAATTTCATACATTTTTGAGGGGTGATGGATAAAGTAGGGATGATGACATGCTAAGACAAAATGTCTCATGTGGGTCACACTAGTGGAAATTCAGGATTTTTAAGAATATTTTCTTGTAGAATGAAGAACTTAATACTTTATATACAATTAAAATATGGATTATTAGCTAAGATTTTATGCTATTTTAACTGGCATAGCATAAACAAAAGTTGTTTAATACAAATTTGAATGTAAGACACAAAAACCTTGTGTTATGTGCAGTAAAATGTACCCTGGGTGATAGGGTTAAGTAATTAAAACTATAATATTTTGTTTTATATGAGTGAGCTACCTTCAGACTATGTATGATTAACAACAATTACAAATTGAAAGCGTAATGGTTATTCTCAGCACTGCACATGTTGAAATTTAAGTATTCAGAGCAGGAAATTGCCAGTGTCAATTGCTACAGTATTTTTGAAAATGGTCATGGTGCCCTCAGAAAATTACTAAAATCGACGGCCATGATAACCACCCTTCATTATCCCTTTGGCCATCATGCCTTCACAACCTAAATTTTTATTGAAATCTGCAGTAAAAGGATAACCATTGGGATCACAAACTCTGGACTTATAACCTAAAGAAACTATGTTGTTACGAATAATATATACATAAAATGCATGTAGTGGAGGGAGTGAAGTTTTCATTTTGATCAGCAGTAAAACATTTGTGCAGTTTGTTGAGTCATACCATACTGCATGCTCTTAGTAGCAGCAAGCAATTCGAATCGGTGCTCAAACAACAAACCCGCAGAGCTTACACAAAGAACCACAGTGACAGCATATACCTATGCTTGTCAGAGTGGAATGCACTACTGCAAGTACTCTGTGCATTAAACATGCCAAAAAAATGAATGAATTAAGAATAATGCCATGAAACATTTTTCTGTGGTAGCTGAGTGCCAAAAATTGGTAAATATGTATATTTAGCCATGGCATAGTGGCTTATAGAATGGCTTCAAGTTTTTTTTTTAAGTGCAAACTTTTAGCTTATATCTCCATCATCTTTTGACCAATTTGAAAGCTAATTACAGTTTACAACTTAGGAGGTCAAACCTTTTCGATTGATGTATTTGACCACACCCAAGGTCTCATAGATTAATTTACTGTACTGTAGTGTCAGCCTAGTTTACGGTTTATCGGCATAAGCCTACATTAGAAATGATGCAAAAAAATACTAGTAGCAATATTGTTTTGGAAATAAATGTTGGTAGACCTTATTTCATGGCACTGTGTCTTTCTATCTATCTGTCTGTCCATCAAGATTTTCAAAGGGCTGCTGTTCGGCGACCATCTAACTGAATTTCGTCAATCTTGATCAGGTAGTCAGACATGTTTTAATTATTCATCAATAATCTTAAAATATCTTCTTTATGTTATTTTCATAATTTAATCACTTTATCTTTTGACATACGGTTTACTTTTAATGTTATACTTTTCTTGCCTGTCCTTACGTTTATTATTCATCACGACACACCACAATGGGAAAAACCTAACATTTTACAGTACTTTCAGCAAAGACACACAAGCTGAAAGCTGAATGTTTTTGTATACACATAATAAGTTAAACCACGTGAAATGAGGCAAAGTTTGGGTTATATTTTAAAAAATTTAAAACACACACACACATATATATATAATACATAATTTTCTAAAATATAAAAGTAAACCCAAAGTACAATTTAAATGTCTAGGTAACTAATATCTATCTAGGTAAGAAGAAATGGTAGATGCTATAGAGTACAAAACAGCTTCACTACTGTTGAAAGTTAATTGTACTTCATAACGAATATTGTCCACTAATTTCAGAATGACCACTTGGAGCTCGTACTTTAGAATATGCTCTTTCTGTCAGTTATAAATTTAAAACAAATAAATACATATACCTTGCTAATCACAAATCTAAATTATTGAAGGTGGGTTTGCATTTTGTTATGGTGTGACAAAATATGTTTATTCTGTTCAGTAAATTGAACTAAAGGACTTTGAAACAAGCATGTTTAAATAATGTAATAAATGTAGATTGTGGATAGACATACATATCATAAACCATGATAGTGGTTCATAATATTGATCACAAGTAATTGTGTAAAACCCCAATAGAACATTCAGGCAAAAAGCACTTTAACCCTATCACCCCAGGTATCCTTTACTGCGCATGACACAAGGTTTTAGTGTCTTACACTCAAACTTTTTTGTTATACCAATTAATATAGCGTAAAATCTTAGCAAATAATCCATATTTTAATAGTATATATAAAGTATTAAGTTTTTAATTTTATAAGGCAATATTAAAGAAAATCCTGAATTTCCACTAGTGCAGACCATGTAACACATTTTCTCTTAGCTTGTCATCATCCCTATTTTATCCACCACCCCTTGGAAAAGTACAAAATTTAACGTAAATTGCATTCCATAAAATTTTTATTGCTCAGAAAAAACATAATTTTTATAGTTTTAGATTTTGTTTGGTTACATATTAGAAAATCAGACCCCGTCTGTCACGTCCTCTCTTTCAGAATTCTTTCTTTTGTTTCATTATATATTACCTATAACCAATAGAAAGTCAAGGTTTTCATCTATCAAATGACATATTGTATAACGTTATATTCTGAACAGTTAGAAGTCAATTTAAATAAGAGTAACAACATTATTCCCGTGGGAAAGTTAACAACTAGCTTGGATGAATTTGTAACGGCTCTTATCGCATAGTTAGAAAGCCAGAAAAATTTTGAGAGGTAAGCAGATTTGTCTACTTTTTGCATGTTATTATTTTATATTGTTTGGTGCATTATTTAATTAAATATAAATTAAGTGCATTACTAGCATTAGCATAAAAAATCAGGCTTAACTGTCCTCAACAATCAAGGGCAAGAAAAAGAAGATTGGGTAAGTACTTTATTTCTTGTTTTTCATACTTATTCTTTATTTATCATTATAAAAGTAACTAAAATCTAAAAATATGGATCTTTGTAAGTTATTTATGACAAGATTAGGTAAAATAAATAATAATGTAATTAAAATGGTTCATGAGGCATGCACACGAGCAGCTCGTAGTAGCTCATGGGTAATGTAATTTGTTACAGTAACGTGACCTGCACATTCTTCGAGTGATTTACAACTTTTATGGTGTGGATAGTTAGACAAAGTTCAAAATGGTGATAAAAGAATGAAATTAATTACAAATAGATATATAATGTTACAAACTTAGAGCTACTTAGGATAAACGTTACAATTTGAAGTCATTCTAGAAAGAAAAAAAAGGTAACTTAGGTTTATTTGGATTTTTGTTTTGGTGGTTACAAGGTCTGTAGAAATGACCGATCCCGTTTTGAGATAGGGTAGAGAAAATAACAGAAAAACTATAAAGTTTTACTGAAAAAAATGTTTAAAATGCATTTAGGAGGTTTTAGGGATTACACAAAGGAAATTAGAGATTTCTGAGATGAGGAAAAGTATTTTTAATTGTAACATAAATTACTTTACACATGGACTATTGAAAACAAATACTCAATATATTCATGGTCAAATCTTTATTTTGTTTTATTAAAAATATTTCACTAAAAAATATGATTTTTTTTGTATGTGAGGGACTTGTAGTGTTAACTGAAAGACTACCAAATTTTGTGAAGTTATACACACTATATTAAGAGTTATAAATATTAAATCTGCAAAGACTTTAAGCGAGTACAAAAAAGTCGCGTGTTTGGTTAAATTGACCGAACTTGTATTGAGAGAGTTAAACAGTAAAGATTCAGTTCAAACAACACTAAAACCTTTACTATTGACTGCTAAGGCTTGTACACATATGAAAATGCACAAAAAAGCACAAATGTTAGACTTACAAGGAAAATAATTTTATTTACCATATCCTGTATGAACCCTTTGCATATTTTGTCTTTGAATGTATACAGTATTGTGCTTGGAAATTATGGCAAGATGGAACTGAGTGGCTGCTCATTAGCTTTCACTAATAGAATCTTGTATTTGTAACTTATTTTCTTCTGTTTTCTTTCAGGAACATAGAGTTCTTTTGACTGGTACACCACTACAAAATAATGTGGAAGAACTGTTCAGTTTACTTAACTTTGTGGAACCCAATAGATTTATATCTAATGAAGCATTTCTTGAAGAATTTGGGGATCTAAAATCAGAATCTCAAGTTGGAAAGCTGAAAGCTGTATGCTATCTATTTTTTTCCATTTTTGAAGATCTAAGTAACTGTTAGATAGATATTAGAACTTGCATTTAGTAACATTTTGTACTATTGTAGTTATAAGTAATAAGCTATGTTTGTGTAATTACAACCGTTGTATGTATATCAAACCATGATTTGAGACAATTTTTTTTCATTTTAAAAGCTCCAAAGATTAATTTAGACAGTATATGATGTAAGTTCCACTAACTTGTTTTGTGTTGTGATTTGTCATGTATTTTTTTATTTGTTTTTAGGCTTTATCATTATGTATGGAACAGAACTTCACAACTTGTTTCCTTTTAAAAGTTAATCAATCTTATATTATGTGTCATAATATCCAAAGCTTTGTAGTCGTTAGCAGCATTTTGTACATATTGTTTAAGTAAAATATGTTGTGCAGAGATAATGTTTTTCAGTTCAAATATTTTTTTGCATATTTT